ATCTGAACATCTCTTGCGCTATTTAAAGTCGGAGTCTTCAATGGCGTCTCGTTCTCTCACAAAATATAATAAAGATATCCCGTTTAATAAGTACTTATAACCCTCAATTGGGGATATTGTCAAAATTATTGAAAACCACATTGTTGTCGACCATTAATATCCCCATAACTGAAGTGGCTGACGGAACCACTTGAACTACACAATGAGACATGTCATATTTGTCACTTGAAAAAATAAAAAGATATTTTGCTCCCCACTGGGTAAAAGTTTAACGATTTTCTTGAGAAATAATGTCTAGTGGTTCTTGAACTAATTAAATATGAAAAGAAGACTAGGACTGTGTTAAAAATTCTCAAGCGGTAGGAAGAAACTTTTTGTAATTTTCAAAATCTTGTCCTAAATAATAATATTGATTATTTGTTTACAACACTGTATCTGAGGTATTAACTCCTATTACAATCACCACAACAGTTTTATCCCCAACAATAAAACCAACGTTTAGACATTTGACTATTCAAGCAGAAAACACCGAGAAGTTCCCATAGCGGTCTTAGCTACCGACACAAAGTTTAACAGTAAGATTATAGACCCCAGCATTAGAGGGTTGAAAGGTGACGAACTTTATTTCATCATGTGCCGATTGACAATTTAACCATTGAGGTCGGATACCCATTGATATTTTTAATCTGTTGCTCCTGTATTGAGTGAGATAATCTGTGTTGAATGCATTTAAGTGCTGCTGCGGTACTTTGAAGATGGGAATTTTTGCTAACGAGGTCGCTTCTTTGTGTGGTAGAAACATTATCACATTTTTATTGTGACAAACTAATATTTCGCTACTGATGCTTACTTAGGCACTAGATATTTATGTACCTACCAAACTTTTGTCAATCTCGCTAGGCTTAGGGTAAAAAAGGGTAAAAAATTATTATAGTTTAAAGAATGAATCTACTCAAATGTACTTAGCAATCTGACACTCATTTGTATTTAGCCATCGCCGCCTGTCATGCCACACGTACGGTACATGAGCACTCGTCAGTCCCCTGGGAGAGCTAATTTTCGTGCCCTGGCGCAACTCAATTTGGCCCGGACACATTAACCGTAACTACTGCGACACAGCCGAACTGGCCGCCTTTTTACGACCATACTTCGATTCCGGCTTTTTTCCCGGGACTCCTATTTCAATTTGCAAGAAAATTCTTTTTGTATTTTCCCAGCCAGCGACTTCGGCTTGTCATTCCCCTGTCATAAGATCCAGTTTGGTGTGCCGAAATTTCGCATTTACGTCTTCTAGCTGTCCGCGCTCACCAATCATAGTTGACCAATGCGGAACATGCAGCTTGTTGGAAATGAGACTGCAGTGGCTTGATTTTGGGGCTATTTTCGAACGCACTCATTTGAGGCGAGTTCGTTAGGGGTCAAGGCGTTAGTAGCGTATTGTGGATTCGATTCCCAGGTGTACGGGGCGTCGGGGCACGTACGCGGACACTTAAAGACAGCCACTTCTAAGATGAAGGGAGGTCCGTCATATAAATTGGACAGGACGCGAGTTGTGGAGTAAGCTTTTTGGGTAACAAATATTCATTACCTGTATCAACATACCCTAAGTTGCGTCTGGAAAAATAAACAAAGAAAGAAAGAAAGAAAATAATTTTATTTTGACAAAAACAGATTCAGGCAACAAACACATTTTGGATTCCTAAATGATTATACCTCACTAAGTATAGGTACGCATTATTTTTAATTTTATAGGTAAGGGATAATTAGATAAAGCTAAAATTAGATATATCAGTGGTTAACTTAATGTTCTTGCGTGAAAAAGCTAGACCCAAAAGAAAGATTCTGTTCAACGTCCAAAGAAAACAGACCATCGTCACGTTCCTGAAAATCCGATAGCACTCATCGTCCCAACCTGGCACGGAGGACAGGGGACTTATCCATTTGGGTGTAAAAGTCCAGAATGCCTCATAAAAACCATTACGCCCGGTTCTGGAATCGAAAAACGGAATCTGAACCCCGTTTTGTTGGAACAGTTTTAATCCGGATGCTTTTTAACACTTTTTCCGATTTTAAGATATCTTTGCGGAGAGTTTTCTGGTTTTAATGGTTGGCGTGACTACACGTTCAACTACCTCGCTTGCATTAATTGATCTAATGATTTCGTACTTTTAGTATCTATAGAAAGAAAAAAAGATATAATTTACCTTGTCTAGGTATTATTTCGATACTCGAGATAATTATGCATGATCGGTCTCATAAAAAACGAATCAAACAAAATACTTAAAGCGACACAATGACTATTTAGTACTAAAATACGAAGCACAAATTTATTTTTACATGCTTTAGTAATAACTACTGGACATAATAAGTAATAAGAACAATCGTAGTATTGTGCAGGGGAGTACATAAATCGTTTAATACGTCACAAAGCCCGTCATCGCCCGTCGTTTATCACCGTGGCGGTGGACGTGTTAACGAGGGGTAGCGGTGTCACATTAGCTTCATTAGTATTTATTATTAGTTATTACAGAAGATAGTATTAAAAGGGAAAGAAACATATATTCCAAAAGGAAATCGGTAGCTTAATAATTTGAAAACTTTTTCTACAAAAAAAAAACAGGATAAAAATAATAGGTCTCTATCATTTTATTTTAGAAACAGGAATATTTTATTAAGTAAGATGAAAAGAGGGGCAAAAATATATTTTTAAAGTAGGAATTATCATCCAGCCAATCAATTTAAAAATCTGTTAAATGCATCTTGGGCGAGTCATATTTGCGACTGATGCAAAAATACAATTAGTCCCGAACTTAATTGATATTTCAGCAATGTACTTCAAATCAAATTAATACGACAACGTCCAAAATAATGCACCCCAAAATGATCAGGTTACATTGTCCCGGGGCCACCCTCTAAACTTATTTTTTAAACAATCAAACAAGAGGCGGGTCTTGCCCAAACTGACCGAGCTGACCCCTTGTAAACGTTAAATCAAGTACAATACTATTTTAACTGCAATCAGCAACTCCAATCTTATTTATAGAAGGGTTTTCTTTATTTTTCAAGAGTTATTAGTCCCCGAGCTGTAGTTACATACGATAAGAACTTAGGTTCTATAAGACCGGCTTTAAAAACCTTTTTAAAGCAGTAACGTAGTCCGTAATACACCATAGATCTGATAGATAAGTCTATCATATTGTATTAGTATGTACGTGCATTTTATGAATGATTCGTAGACTGTTGTGAGGTACCAATCTTATTCAGTTTCTAAAATAAATGTAGATTTATGCCGGATCTGAATTTTTAAACGGATAAAGTAAGATGGTGGACGTGATGGAATTCAATGGCTACTTTGAAACTTAACTACTTACTAATTCTGCGTTTATATTTATTCGATAAGACCTAGAAAATTAAATATTCTTTATGTAATTGTGTAAATTGTATCTCTAGTGCTTAAAAAACAACCATAATAAATATCTAGACAGTCTAATTTGATAGAATAAGAGGACTTAATAAAAATATAACTTTTATGTAATAAGTATTGAGGTACAATGAACCTCAAAGTTTTTAATTTTAAAAAATAAGCATGATGAATCTTGAAAGCAGTTCATTTAAAAAATCGAAACCTTTTTGGTCAGCGTCGTAAACCTGGCTGTTTTCTGCAATCTTTTTCTTTTTCTCAAACGAGAGCACATAGAAAACGCATAAACAAAAGAATAAAACGTTCCATTTTCGAATGGCCTTACTCAGGTGTCCATAAAGCTGGCCTCGCGAGACATCGTAAACCGGGACATCATCGGATCGCTTACGCTGCGGACTGACGACCCTAGTAGTAAACTTGATAAGCTGCTGAAGTCTCGATCGTACTATTAAATTGCTGAGAAAAACTATCGTGTTAAAGCGACCTTAGTACCTACTACCGAATGGGTTGTCAAAAACGCTAAGCAGTATGCTCACGTGACATTGTCAAATGTGGAAACACAATAACCACAGAGGAAAAGAAGAAGAAATATGACATGAAATTAATAGAAATATGACATGATTTTTTTTAAATACATAAATCAAATCAAATGAAAAAATTTAATGAAATATGACATGAAATTAAAATAATCCTTGTTCAGTTTTGGCCAAAGGTACTTACTTATGTACGTCAAATTGTGTCTAAATAAGGGGCTCTGTCTGCTTCTTTATTTTTTGGACCCTACCTGCGCTTTGAGACATTTGCCTACATAAAAACAGACCTAAACATGGTATCTACTCAATTTTTTAACTTGACTTTCATGTTTAGTCTTTTATAAATAATGATCTATCAGGAGACAAAAAATTAAAAAAGGTCAATGAAAACAGTACCAACTATAGTCACTGACAGAGTTAAAAGTTATTCGGACACAAAAAACCGTTCAACCACATTTCCAACGCACAATTTTTCCCACAAATCGAGTGTGACTATACCTGATCCATTTCGTATGTAAATGCGTCGGTAAAACACAGGCTCATTAGTGCCCGCCAGTGGGAGGGCAGGGGGAGTGTCTGCCCGGCCCGCCCAGAAACAGGTGTGGGAAAAAATATGTCTCTACCCACCATTTTATTGTGGAGTTACGAATATTTTTGGTGGAAAAAATGGAAACATATTTTTGTTTGGGTTGGCTTATTTTAATTAGTCTGGTAGGTATGTGTAGAATACACTACGTTGTGTAAAGAGAAAAATTATCTACAGAAAAGACGGGTCTTCTAAAACTTTGCTTCAAGATCATAATAAATTAGTTTCTAAACAAAAATTACAGTATTTTATTCGTTGAAAAATGGCGCTTCAAAAGATACATGTCTCGTAGATCGTACTTTAGTAGCTCTACATGTATTTGTTACAAACGTATTTGTAACGTGTACGTAGTTTCTTAGTTCAACAAACCGAATAGTTCTCGACTCCAATCGCATAATTAAAAGATTTTAATATTTTTTGGTCAAGAACCCACAAAACTAACAAACTCTTTTGTCCACAGCATCCTCGAGCTCCGAAAAGAGAAAAGTAGAGACGCAGCGCGCTCTAGACGTGGCAAGGAGAACTACGAGTTCTATGAACTGGCGAAGATGCTGCCACTCCCTGCTGCCATCACCAGCCAGCTGGATAAGGCCTCCATCATCAGGCTGACGATCAGCTACCTCAAACTACGGGACTTCTCAGGGCATGGGGACCCGCCATGGAGTCGAGACCCGCCTCCGACTAGCAAGGCTTTGAAAGGTAATTATTGTAAGTTGCAAATGGCTAAGGTGCGTAATACTTATTATAACGAAGCTCAAAGCTTCAAGAAACCAATCAAAAACTTCCATAAAATTAAAATCAAAAGAAGCTTTTGATCGGTTTTTAGATTTTTATAAATCACAGGACAGATAGATATCCATGACTGATATAGCTAAATATTGAATAGGTTTTGAGCGTTGTTTTAAAATTACATACATACTCGTAGGTACTAACATTAGAAGATAAATTACTTTTGGGAATTATACTGCCGCACAATTTATAAACGCAGTAAGTACCACTTACTGCATTTATGGTTGTTTTGAATATTCTGAATCCTGACATCGCGATCTATAAGAATCAAAGACCCGTTTTTTTCTATCTATCTTAGAACGGAAGATACATGTTATCATAAACGCAGTAAAGAGCAGATTGTAGGTTTCTTCACATACTATGTTAGCAGTAAGAGCACATAGTAACTTAATATTAGGTGAATACTCGCGCTTACTTAATTTGCTACACAGTAATAGTGCAGTATGTGCCAATTACATCATTCTTATTATGTTTCTACAATTGTTAAGTTCACCTTGCACATAGTATATGTGCAGTAATTCCACTTAAACACACACTGATATTATGTTTCCATAGGAAAAACAGATGACTTGTACTTAATATTAATGCAGTAATTACAATTATACTGCGTACATACTAAGGATTGTCAGAGTGCTGCCTAGGTGTTAACATGTTATGAACGCAGTGGCTGACTCTTACGTTATTGGAAGAAGTTGAAAACCTGTCCAAATGACAAATCTAGCCGAAGACCCAAGAGCTAGATTGACCCGACACTATACCGAAGATATCCCGGACGTGTCTGTACGAGATTAGAATGGCTCTCAAACAGCTGAAAAACAACTGAGCTTCTGAAATCAGGCGGAACGCCGGTACTAAAGGCTCTTTAGAAGCTATTCGATTCCGTCATCCTTGAGGGAAAAACGCCTACGGCATGGCACAGAAGTGTGGTGATACTCTTCTTCAAAAAAGGCAACAAAACCTTGTTGAAGAATTTATTTTATACCCATCTCACTTCTGATTCTGTTTTTGAGAGTCATCATGAATGGTTTTACGCGACATCTAGCCTCCCGAACAAATCGGTTTCCGATAAGGCTTTAGTACGATAGACCACATTTATTTATCTATGGCAGAAAACTGAGGAGAATAATCAGCAACTTTGTCTGGCATTTGTGGTCTATGAGAAAGACTTCTCTCTTCAAGCTACAGTCTCTCCAACGGTGCCAAATTTACTATAGATATAATCGTTGAAGGGCTTGTACGAATAGGCCACAATGTCAGTCCGTCTCCGGGATTAGGACTTCAGTTGCAGCGAGGGGTCAGACAGGGAGATGTCATTTTTCTAAAACTGTTCACTACCACTCTGGAAGATGTTTTCAAGCTTCTGGACTGGAGCGGATTGGGCATAAATATCATCAGCGAGTAGGTACATCACCCATCTTTGATTCGCGGACGATATCGTAGTCATGGCTGAGAACGTGGAGGATCTAAGCTCAATCCTCGATTGCCTCAATAGAGCCTCTCAACAAATGGGTCTTTAATGGACAAGACAAAAATCATGTCAAATGCCGTGCTGTACCCACTCCTCTGAAGGTTGGAGACACTATAAGTTGTCTGATGGCCGCTGGGGCAGGAAAGTTCTTGAGTGGCGACCATGAGCTGGAAGACGCAGCTTGGGCAAGCCTCACACTAGGTGGACCGATGATCTGGTGAAGGTCGCGTCAGGTGCCTGTATGCGAGCGGCACAGGACCGGTCTTTGTGGAAATCCTTGGGGGAGGCCGTTGTCCAGCAGTGGACGTCTTTCGGCTGAAACGAACGACCGAGTCTTTATTTTATTAGATTGGTATATTTAAGATCTAAAAGTGGGTGCCATATTTTAATTTTTGATTGAATAACAAGCGATCTCAGCAATTATTTTGTAATACTTGTTTCATTTACCCCTTGGTCATTTGGGAAAGTTCAACATGAAAGCGTTATTGGCTTATGATAAGCGCAGTATAATTGTATTATTACTGCGCATTTAAAGTTTTGATAAATTATTTTGATTCACACTCCCACTCATAAATGCAGTAAGTTGTAAAGATACGGCGCATATATTACGTTGTAAGAACTAAAATTTAAATCAATCATTTAACACATGTACCGTAAGTAACGAAAACTACTGATAAACGCAGTAAGGAACAATCATACTGCATTCATGGGTAGTAAGTATCGAACGAAAACTTAGTTAATCCATAACATAAACAGTTTTTTAATAATTTTAAATACAAAATATTAATTAAAATACAAAAACCTCATATCAAAATAAACTTTGAGTTTAGCTCTATAAGCCCATATATTTTTTTTTTACAAATATTTGCGTAACTAATTGTAGACACCCCAAAATAAAATTTCAACTTTGATCGTGTTTTTCTCGAAACTGTTCACGTGTTACTTACTGCGTTTATAAATTGTGCGGCAGTATAGGCAGCAAATATGTACTTACTAGTTTAACTATGCAAAATAACTGACTAGGTTTAAAAAGAGATATAGAAAAATGAGATTAAGATCTTGAAAATGGTTCACCTTTTACTTATAATTTTAGGATAATACATGGTCTTCATAAATAGGCACAACAAATGAAGTGCCTCCCCGCCCAGTGGTTCGCGCCCGCGTAAAACTATGCAAAATGACTGACTAGGTTTAAAATAACCGGGAGGGTCGGGCAATCTGATTTGCCTTCGTCATGTCATTGTCGGTGGTAACCTCGTTAGCCCCCCATAGGTACTGTCGGCAAAACAAATAATTTTACATTCTGCCGTCGGCGTTTGTTTTGGGAATTTTAAATATTAAGTCCAATTTATGCCAAATTACATCCTTTGAAAAACTACCAATTAAACTGTACACAGCAGCATAATTTTTGAAGTTAACGATTTAACTCTACATGGTCTTGGCAGTATAGATTTTTAACTATGGTTAACATTACCAAATAAAATAACAGGGATTTTTAAATGTGCGTACTTAATGCTTTATGATTTGTGATCACAGTGTGATGCTTTGTAAAAAAGCTTCCTAAATGTACAAAAGCTTGTAAAACAAACTAAAGGTATTTTTTATCGCAGAAAACATAATTTGAAGTATTAAACAGTATTAATTAATGACTCATTACTATATTATTGTAGTTTTTTCTACTATTTTTGTGTTCTATAACTCAGTATTTATGTCATAATCAATATTACTACAGTCAATTACATTGGTCACCAGTTTGTTAGTACGTACCTAATACCAACTAATCATCTAGCGACTTGTCAGCTTGTCACTCCAGTTGTCAGCGCCAGTCGTCCATCATTCAATTACACGTGCATTATACGCGTAACTACGGTTAATTTGATGCCTATAGAGCTGGTATTTGTGCGAATTTACGTTATACTGAAGTCGATTAGTTCTCCTTTTTAGGTTCAGACATAATTTATGTCTTAATTTAGTTTTAAAACTAGTTTTTAGCAGACTTGCCATTGAATATGGGCACTTTTCCTGACTCTAAAATTTCTCACTTAGACATTTTTGTTTAGTGGGTTCTGTCTATGTTTATGGAACAATACCGAATCGATAATTGAATTTCGTAAGAAACCGAACAAGTTGTTGTAATTTCGAATTTAACGGATAATGATTGAAAAATTGGTGCAATAATCGATCAATAACGGTAGTAGAATAGTGGCAACCATGAAGAAAGATATTCATAATAATTTGAGTAAAGTAATTGGACGTAGTAAAACCGCAGTTCTTAGCTAAAGAAGGACACCTTATTGCGTTCTATGGTTTTGCTAATAATGTTAATTTGGCAACCTAAAGCCTAATTCACACTAGTCTACTTGTAAATTGTACTGGACCAAAGAGCGAACGGTTTTTTGGCCAGTAGCGAATAGTTTAGTAACTAAAAGCGAGTTACTTTACTAAATAACTAGACTTGACAAGGCTTAAGGCACAGTGGTAATGCCAATTAAACCGCGCAGCCAAATCGTCAAACGAACCCCGCCACAATTTGAATACACTAACCAAGTCACGTTCACCAAATAAGCAGTACTAACAAGCGGTATATCGCTTGCACTGATTGTTAATTGATTAGATTAAAAATTTTGGCCCAAATCGCGGCGTATTGATATAAGGGGTCTACCCCACTGAATTAATTAAGTATTTTTAATACCGACGGTGTCTTTTACAATTTGTGTGTTGACAAGCCTTGGGCTTATCTTGTCATTTGCATTCTTATTTGAGTTTTTAAGTAGGTAGTGTGTTGTATTCAAGGCCATAGCCATGCCTAATGCCTAAGCTACATAAAACAAAAAAAAAACGTTGTCAAATGCTTTTAGTCAAAACAAGCTAGTTGTTTATACGAACATTTGACAAAAATGACGTAATTTTAAAGGGAATTTCCTCTCAAATCTTTATTGCTTACGTGAGTATATTGGAAACTCGAAATTTTGTCTCCCCAAACATTTGGAGACACTTTTAACGCCCCTAACTCGTGTCTTATAGTCTCAAATATTTTTATTTGAATGCATGTAGGTGGGCTTGAAAATTGAGTTAAAATGACAGTGGCATACGTAGTGATTCGCCCCGTGGTCGCATTAAGCGCGTTAGGGGCCAAAATTGGATTTGTACTGGGGTGTTTTATTGGTACACTTGTTACGAATTTAGGCACAGTGTGCTTTAAAAAGCTGCAATGTTTTTGAGGCCGCAATAAATTGCGGCAATAAACTAAAGTTTATTTAGTGGTTTTACTTTTTATTAAAAATACGGTACGAGAAACAAATACCTTTCTGATCAGAAAAAACATAGATCTAATTACAAACTATCATATAAATTGAAATTGAATTTAGTGCAGTTGGCCAGGACGACAGACGTACTTTTTATATCAAATATGTTAAATTTAATAGAAACTACGCCATGTTTG